CAGTTGATTCTAATGTTGCTTGCGACAGCTGTTGTTACCGGTGTTGCTGTTGCTGTTGTTCTTGTCCTTCTTGTTATTTTTGTTGTTGTTGTTGTTGTTGTTGGTGGTGGTGGTGGTGGTGGTGTTGTCGTTGTTGTTGTTGTTGCTGGTTGTTGCTGATTGTTTTTGGTTGTTGTTGGTTGTTGTTGGTTGTTGTTGGTTGTTGGTTGTTGTTGTTGTCGTTGTTGTTGTTGTCGTTGTTGTTGTCGTTGTTGTTGTCGTTGTTGTTGTCGTTGTTGTTGTTGGCGGCGCTGGTGCTGGTGCTGGTGCTGGTGCTGGTGCTGGTGCTGGTGCTGGTGCTGGTGCTGGTGCTGGTGCTGGTGCTGGTGCTCTCTTCGTAAACGTACTGCTGTTGTGTTGTTGTTGCTGTTGTTGCTGTTGTTGTTGGTTGCAGTTATGATGATTAAGGGTCTACTAGTCCTAGTATTGGGATTTGTATTGTACATGAAAACTACTATTGCTACCGCTATTGTTTACATTCATTGATATTCATGTAGCTTTTGCATTTCTTCTTGCTCTGCGTCGTGGTGGTGGTGGTGGTGGTGGTGGTGGTGGTGGTGGTGGTGGTGGTGTCGTTTTTGCTGTTGTGCAAATGTGCATGCGGGATGATCGGCACGGTCCGATCCGTAGAGATGTGTTGTTATCTGACTGCAACCGGCAAACCTTTGAACGCCATCGAACAACAACCACATCCACCGAAAGCGAATAAGCCCAAAGCACGTAAGTCGGATCCCACAGGACCAATAGGCTCTTCGAGATTCTCAGAAAGCCGCCGATACTCAGGATGCCCTCGGCCTTCATGGTGTCATCGACTTGATTGATGCCTTTGTACGGAATTGCAGGGAAAGGCGGCAGACTGATTGAGTGACTAAGTGTCATCAGCTAAAGCTGCGCAAGCGAGGCATCAAGGCCAAGATGCAAACTTTGTCGAGGACTGGGATCGCCAAAACACCAAGGTAAGGCACGCTGTGAGCCTCAGGAGCATGTCAATGTGCCGAATGACTCGACGCGGCATCCATCCCGGCACTCCTGGGCCAAGGCGCACTCCCGCACCAAGGGCCCAGAGGGAGAACTCATAGTAGTGATGATGCCCCACGTGGTCCTCGAGAGCCGAGCCGTACAAAAAAGAGTTCACAGACCCTGCTGAAGGCAGCTTTCACGACCAACGGCGCTTTTCATTGGCCCTCATATCGCTTTAGTTTAAATGGTTGAGGGTGGACACTGAGGCTCTTTGCTTAGTCTTGGTTGGTCGCTGACATGGGCATTTCACTGCCAGGAGGCAATCGACGGCTTCTCGTAACCAGGAAGGAAGCCTGCGCCTCGGCAAAGTCCGGCAGCCGAAGAAGCAAATACAGCTTGAGGAAACGAGTCCGAATGAGCCACTGCTTCTTGAAATTCGGCCCAGTCACTTTTCAGAGCCGCTGCAAGAAGGCGGCCAGCGTCCCTAGCCTGAAGATGGAAAAGGAAAATATCGAAGTCCCGGCATGCGAGTATCAGGATCAGAATTCGAGGCGGTCGACGGCAAGCAACAACATGCTCAATCGAGAGAAGTCCGCAAGTTTAACACCGGATGAAGGTCTTTGAATTGCTGCTGTCAAGATACACAGCTGCCGCCGGACCGTTCTTCCTCGGTGAGCGCGCACGTGCCAGTCCAGCTGTGGGAACGTGGAAAACAACTTCGAAGAGATCAATGCGAGCAGGCTGAAGCCGGTCAGAAGAGCGCACCATACAAGAAGAAGGAAAGACGAGAGACTCAAAAAGCGTACCGTGCTCGTGCCGGAGGCAGCGAAGTCTACCAGGTTTCTCGATCTGATACCAATGACAAAGACATTCCATACCGAGATGAACCCCCGAAAACTAGGGGCCATGTACGCCGGGCAACAGAACTAAAAGTGCCGCGACCTTTCGCCAGGCGTGCTCCTGCCACGAATGGGACCAGAACTCATCCACTGCCTGCCAGGAAAACCAGTGGGAGCTTCTGAGTTCCACTGCAACTTGGAAGTATGCCTACAGCCCCCATATGATGATTCTCAGCATCCTCATGAACTTACCTGTGATGGTTGTGCTTTTGTGGGAGCCTTACGACGCAAATTGTCGTGCTTGTCATTTTGACTGTCTTTGCTTATTCTTTTGTGTTCTTCGTGCTGCGGGTTTCGGATCATAGCCCGGTGTTCGTGACTTTCATCCTCGTCTGCGTTTGAAAGCGTGGTCTATTGTTGGGGTTACAGGCTGCCAAAACCTTGCCAAGTTTAAGGTGACGGCGCCTGTGTGTGCCAATGCGTTCTTACACATTTCAGGGTTTCGAGGGGTGTGGGGTGGGTGGGGGGGGGGGGGGCTTATGACGGCANNTAACTCAAACAGTGGCATATAAGCTTCCATGTTGACCCTGAGGTAAAGCCACAAGACGTGCGAACCTCGGGTGCACGCTGGGACAACTAGCGAAAGCGGCGCCGTGAGCAAAGCGAAGACCTGTGGCACTTCAGCTCCTGCCTCAAGTGTCAAGCTTCAATCCTTGCCCTGCCTAAGTAAGGCAAGTCTGGCAATTCAGGAGTACTTCCTCTGAAATTCTATCTCACATAAAGTTTTGCTTTGCAGCCTCTTGAAAACAATGCTTCAAATGCAGGCGAAAACGCAGCTAGGCCCGGAGTTTATTACAGCCCCTAGTGTTTTGCGCACCTGCCTGGACTGCAATTTTTCCGAAATTGCGCTCCCGCTGTGGTTTCGCGCGAATCCATGTAGAACTCCTCATTCTGAAATGTGTAAAAACGCATAGCCGCGTTTTAGCGCACAAAGTTTAAGTTCTGTCACGAGAATTCGTGCTTTCCGAGCACTGGAGAATTTCTTCAAGCCCGGGGCATCTTCTGCAGGAGTCCCGAAAATAAGGACTTTCTTGTTAAGGGTCTATATCTACAGCAGGGCTCCTACTTTCTGAAACTAGCCAATCGGCTTTCGAATGGGGCGTCTAGATCTGAGAACTACATTACTGTGTAGGTATAGCGCTTTCCAAGAAAGTACGAAAGCCCAAAAGTAAGGGCTCTGGCCGGCCCGGACACTGAAGCTATCTCTCCCTTCCAGGAGTTTCAGTTCAGCTAGGAATACACAGACTTGAGCTTAGGGATTGGTTCTTCAAGCAACCACGAACTAAATAGCAACCTCGTTTAAGTGGCGCCTAGCTAGCATTGAAACGACTATGACTTGTGATTTGTACATGGAAAAGCTGGCTACTATATACTCGCTTGGCCCCGCTTGGCACCTAAATCAGATGATAACGTGCTTGCTATGTTGAGGTGGTGGTATTGGGGGGATGTTGCCAAAAGCAATAGCCTTCTTGAGCGTATTGACACTTTTTTTGGTGTAACGGTGTAAATGTAAAAGGACTGTGGGCAACTTAGTCTGATTACGTGTGTTTCGATGGTGTGGGCTGCACAGGAGTACCAGGGTTATGGGCAGTACTTATTATGATCATTTAACGTTTGGACAATTTGGTGAAGTAGTACAAGGGTCATTTGCAATACTTAGCGTGAGTATTTAAGACGTGTTTTCGGACGGATGGAAAAATACAAAAAAGCAATATGGTAGCATGATGATTCGTATTTGGATAGTGTGGGTTGCATTGCACTCCGTGCCTTGGTTTATTTCTGAAGCTCTTCCTGTCTGTCCTTCTTTTCTTCTTTCTTTCGGCGTCTTAAGGCCTTAAGGCTGATCTTTCGTTCTGTTTTTCCTCCACCCTCCAACCAACAGTTGACGGGAAAAAAACTGCCCAAAATTGCCGACGGCTCGATTTGCCGGCCCAGCCTCGGCCACTCGGCTGAGGTGATAGAAGCTCTTCCTGCACAGGGGAGTTAGAGGCCCATGGGCAACGCCGCCCCGATTCGACGACTCTGTTTCAGATCTTCTGCATTTGGGACAGTGACTCAACACTCAGCAGCAGGGGTCCCACTGGTTCCACCGTCGCGAAGGATGTGTCCCAAGCCTTGTTGGGAGAGCCAGGGGGAAGACTTTCTCAAATCAAATGTCTGCGACTCCACTCCATCACTTTGAGCTGGTGAGGACCCTTACACTTAGTCTTAGAGCTGTTGGAATCAAGCCTCGTTGCAAAAGCACATCAACTGAGATTTCCAACGAGCAGCCCCACAGCACGAAGAAAGCACTGGTCGACCTTTGCATCTCCGGGCGGATGGCTGTCATCCTGCGGGTGCTGAACAGAAGGACCTCTAGCCTCATGCCCCTGACATACCATAAAATACAAGATCCTACAAGAAGAGGCTTTGAATGCCCCGATGTTCCAGCTAACTTCACTGCTGGATCTGTGGAACAGCTCGATAGGAATGCCTGCTGGCACTTAGTTTGCCTCCCGTCTTGTGCAAGTTCGCCGGTCCTGATGATAAACTCGGCCAAGTGCTTCATGTCCGGGTTCAAGTGGGCCCGGGCACTCTTCTCATCGTCCAAGACCCGGACCTGCGTTGTGCTTGCAAGAGACGTGATCCAGGACAGAAGCTTTGCAGCAAGGCAAGAGACAATGACTGCATCACACAGCGGCACGCATGGGCCACATGCAGCCACCTCGCCAGGAAGTTCTGGTATCGGCAGTGGCGGCGGCTCGACGGCCATGCTCGAAGTACTTTTAAAAAAACTTCGCACCTTCCCGTGACGAGCCCGCGGCTGCGAGATCAGATCATCGGCCATCCAGGGAAGACAACTCGCAGCTGAAAGCCATGAAGCCCAGGCTGCGCAAAAAACTGAGGCCCCAGAAAGCCCTCCCCCCTCCCTAAGTTGAAGCTTGCAACTCTGAAGTCTTGATCTGCTGCGACCCACAGCGGCCTGCATCTGTTGCCTTTCCTCCGCCCTTCGCAATCGCTCCTGCCGGCGCTCTGCGGCCTGCAAAGCAGAGTCGCGACTTCATGGCTCGACTCCCAGAGATTGAAGCCTGAGCCTCCTTGTCTCCTTGCCTTCACGAACCGGGCTCGAAATCACGAACCGGGCCTTTTGCCGCTTTTCCTGTGCTTTTCGGTCTCGCTCCTCGCCTTGCCGCTGGATGTGCAGAGCGACACGCGGTGGAGTGTAAGTGAGATGTTCCGCCTACCAGGGCCTACCCTTTTCAAGTCTAAGCATGGAGGCGAATTTCACGACTCGCGAACATCCAAGCAACATTGCTGTTGATGCGACAGCCTTCTCTATGAAACCGTTGACACGCCATTGCACACCTCTTCCATCCTCCTCCGTTCTTCAAGCGGCTCTTGCCAATATGCTTCCAGGCTTTACGATCTCAGGGCTCTGCGTTTAAAAACGTCGTTTGAAAAGGTCGCAACCTCCGCCCGAAAGGCTCCATGGTCTGCCTCTTCGATTCGATGCCAGTTGACTCGCTGCGTTGCAAGTCCGATTCGAGATGCACCGGATGGAAAAAGGTGCAAAACGACAGATCACGACAGACTGCTTGGGTGCCCACGGGCTTCTTTGTCAGCAGCCTCGCAAAAGTTGATCTGCAGACGCAAAGGCTTTGGTGAGGGCCTGCTGTACCTCACACCTCTCTTGCTGAGCTGATCGGACCCCACAATGCCGCTTGTGCACACACAAAGCTGCTGATAGCTGCTGCTAAGCCGTGGCAATCTGAACCCTCCTTTTATGCATTTGCAGGCTGCAACCAGTCTATCGCAGGAAGATTCCGAATGCAATGCGGGCCGCACCCCAGGTCCCCCACAGGTCTCTGCAAAAAGCCGCCCCAGGCTTCTTTGGCCTCTCAGAGTAGGCGGCTCTCTAGGACGAGCTTCCGACAACGGTCCGGCCTGCTTGGCTCTGTCGGA